CTTGTTTAAGACCATATAAGGCTTTGTTCAATTTATAAACATAATGCAGAAATTTAGGATCAATAAATCATTTAGGTTGTCCAACATAGACTTTTTCCTGAAGTATTTCATTCAAGAAAGCACTATTGACATTCATTTGATATAATTAGAATTCTAAAGTGTAGGCAACAACGAGAAGAATTCTAATGGATTCAAGTCGAGCTATCAAGGCAAATGTTTCATCAAAGTCAACTCCTTCAACCTGAGTATATCCTTGGGCAACTAACCTAGCCTTATTTCGAGTTATTGTACCTTGATCATCGATTTTATTCTTAAAAATGCACTTAGGACCTATAACATTGGTATTATCAGGCCTAGAAACTAAATTCCATACATTGTTTCTTAGAAACTGATTTAGCTCCTCATGTATCATATTTACCCAACATTCATCACTAAGGGCATCTTCGACTTTCTTAGGCTCAATCTGAGACACGTGACTAGCAAATGTCAGATTGTTTAAAACCCTCTTACGAAGTCCTATCCCTTCATCTAAATACCCAATAATATTTACCGTAGGATTATTTGACTTAACTCTAGACTAAGGTTCCTTAGGAGGTTTAGTTCTATCATCAGGTGAGGATTCCTCATTGGAGGTTCTTAGGCCTTAAAAGTGTGTGAGCAATCGGGTATTGAAGTTTCTTTAGATTCAATTAATGTGACGGGATCTACACTTAAGTGATCTAACTATTCCCAACTCTTCCAATCTCCCCATCACTACAAGCATCATCAACTATTACATTTATGGATTCCATCACAACCCGTGTACAAGAATTGTATACTCTATAGACTATTTATATAGTATCCTAGAAAATTCCCTCATTGCTCTTAGAGTTAAACTTGCCCGAATTCTTTCTATCTCTTATAGTATAGCACTTGTTGCTAACAAACAAAAGTACTTGACAGTAGGTCTTTTACCATTTCCAGATCTCATACGGTGTTTTATCAGTTTTAGATCTAAGGAAAACTATGTTCACTGTGTGACACGAGGTGTTGATAGCTTCACCCCAGAAATGTATAGCTAGTCCCTTACCATGAAGTATGGCTCTAGCCATTTCTTAAAGCACATGATTTTTCTTTTCAACAACTCTATTTTGTTGTGAAGTGATCGGCAAGGAGAACTCATGCTGGATTCCCTCCTCCATGCAGAAATTCTCAAAATTAGAGTTTTCAAACTCTTTTCCATGATCACTCTGAATTCTAGATATTGTGAATTTTTTCTCATTTCTAAGCCTTTTGCACAAAGATATGACAAGCCTAAATACCTCAGATATTTCTCTCAACAACTCAATCCATGTGTATCGAGAGAAATCATCTACCACAACCAAAATATGTCACTTACTACCAAGACTCTCCGTCCTACATGGTCTCATTAAGTCCATATGGAGTAATTCTAGCGGCGTGTTTGTCAAGA